ACGGGAGGGGGAGCTTGCCCCCGCTCTCCGCTGGTCAGGGCTTCTCCCTGGCCAAGTGCTTCTGCCAGCGGAGCCCTGTTAATTTTCTGGCGGGGGATCGCAGTTATTGATTGATTCCTAACACGGATCCTGGCTCCGCACCGCAAGTGTCCTTTCATTCGCTGAGCTTGCTACCGTAAATATGTTTGTGGAGAAATGTTTCCTCTTCTTACTTTTAAGTGTCGTTTATCTTGGAACAGCAGTAGACAGAAGGACAACGGCTCTTTTCTTGTTCAGCCTGAGAGGAGAAGTTAGGGACTTTGGTGGCACCATATTAATTGCTGAATACACAAATCAGTGTCACACAAGCTGGTCTATAATTTTCACAGGCCATTTTTTTTCCTTGGCTTTTTTAAGGCCTCGCTTCCCTTGCCAGTGGTTTGGACCTCCTAATTAGTTAAGGATATGAAACATTTGCTGTTTGAAACTGGAAATAACGAGTGAGACACTTTCCTGGGCTGGGATACTGGAGGCGTTTTCAGGTTCCTAGGCTTTTAGAGGAAACACCATGAATGAAAAAAATCTCAGGTATGCCTGTAGCTCTTAGATGCTCCGGAAAAGCCACTTACTGCTGCAACCGATAAGGGGCCTAATAAAAGGAAAGTTGGACCTATCAGCCTTCCTGCGCCTTCCCTTCCTAATTTTACACATCGTCTGCCGAAAGGTGTCAGGATGGCATCTGATGGGACAGCCGAGAGAGATCGTGTTTAACCACAGCCAGGCTTTGCTGGCTCATAGCTATTGTTCTCACCAGGAAAAAGAGCCTGCAGGGCTCAATGTAAATATATGACTCTGGAGAAATCACTGGCCACAGGTCAGCCTTCTAGCTGGCCCTGTCCTAGCCTCTGCAGGGCTGCCCCTCTATTGGAAAAGCCTCTGTGTTGCATACGTTCAGATTAAAACTGAAAACCTGATGGTCTACATAACGTAGCATTAAATCTTCATGCAGAAAATGAATTTACTTCAGTTCTTTATTCAGAAAGATTCAGTGTGAATATGCTAGACAGCATGAGAGAGTGGATTAACAGGTGGGCAAAGAGTTTTGCTCTGGCTGGGAAGTTCTCTGCATAGACCACTACCAGCAAACTAAAAAGGAAAAGGAACCGGCCCACATTCCTTCTTGTCCCATCTCGGTCCCCCTTGCAGAAGGCAACCCTAACTCCTGCAACACATTCTGTACCTATATCATGATCACATTGGAAACAAGTCCTTTGGATCAGCAATCACAGTATTTGTTTACGGTACAGAGGAATGCTGCCTAGTTCTCCACCTTACTGTTCAGGAAGGACGCAGGGTAAGAAAGCCCTTCGGTGAACGGCTACTCAGGAGCACAAGGACTGATTTCATCCCAGCTGGAAAGATGAGATAAGGACTGAGTCTCAGTAAGCTTTCCCTCCTCTCAGGGGAGAGGAGCAGGAATTTCCCAATGTGAGTCACAGCGTGCATGTGCCCAAGTCACCATCCAGAGGTGCCCATCTCCGCACGGACTACAGAGACCACCTCTGGTCTGCCAGCTCTGAATGGGTGCCTGGGTGACCTGCGCAAAGCCAGGAGGGACGACGTGGCACAGCCCGAGGATTGGCAGGCATCACCTCGCAGGAGGCGTAGGATGGAGGTGTAGGACTGATGTAGGGTTCCTCACCTATCAACTGCCCTTCATTCAGAAAAGACATACAGGTTTTAAGGGTCCTTGAACCATCCCTTGTACACAGAGAAGTGACAAACACTTTCCAAGTGGAGAAATGGGAGGCTTTTACTGGAAAAGAAAAAAAATCCCTCTCTGCCTGAAAGTTTTGCAGGCAGAGCTGTTTACAGTAACTGATAGATTTTTCAGCTGGC